GATTCCCATATCATTCAAGTTGACGTATTCTGAATGGCTCATCTCTGAGTCCATTCCACTTTAACACTTCAGAGTGATCACCCGTCGAGAATTAACATTTTAGAAAATACGAACAACAAATCTCTTTGTTAGCAACTCTCTCAAGTCTACTTTCCATATCATCCAAATTTGACGTGTAATCAATGGCTCAACTTAGAGTCCATGGCACTTTGACACTCTTCAGTGATCAACTCGTCAAGAAGTGTCATTGGTTTTATAAAACTTGAAATGAAATAGTAAAACATCGTTGTTACATGAAAGGGTGGACTATATTTTGATTTACAAACTCACCCTTTTCGTCACACACCCAAGCTAATAAATTTAGCTACGCATGATGAAAAGTAAATGACAAGAAATATAAAGTGCAATAAATAAAGACATAAAATAAATGCGGGAAGTAAATGACGGAATATAAATGACGGAATGTAAAGGATGCGGTAAGCGTCATAAATAAATGACAGAAATAAAATGAAAGTAAGCGTAAATAAATAAATGATGGAATATTAAGAACGAGAAAATAATTAAAGCGATTAAATAAACTCAAAACTAGCCAAAATATTTCTTAATATTTAGAGACTTGTTCTCCAAGTAGTATGGTAACCTACTTGAGAGAAAAGTAGAGGAACAATGAAGTAAGGAGTGAGGTGTGTCTTCAACATCCCCCAACATCTCTATTTATACTAGAGATGGAATGATGGCAAAATAGACAATTCAGACACTTTTAGTTCTAAAGAAACTAGAAGGTACATTAAAGTAAACTAATATTTAAAAAGCAACTAAATTATTCTTAACAAGCTCCAGCTAATTTTAACATAACACAGTTGTCCAACTTTAGAAGCCTTTCAAAAGTCATCCTATGGTCTTGTCGGTCAACTCCAAGTCTTATCCATCTCTTTCTCCACCATCATGTCATGCTGCCACATTCCCGCAGCATGAACCAGCTTCAACCTGTCCAAAATAAGTTCAATTTAGACCAAAATCCAACAAAAACAGGTTCATCATTCTTCTTGGCATAAAAATAGAGAAAAGAGATAAAATGACTCAAAATTGGGATATAAATAGAAAATAACCTATCTAAAATAGAATAAAAAGGTGCTTTAAGCACTAAATACTTAGTGCGTATCGATTTTCTCTCTAGATAGTTATCTTATTGTTTAGCTTTCTAGTATAAATAGGTGTTAGGCCTATTGTATTCGGTTAACGCTTTTCACTATCATTTGGAATAAAGTGAATCTTTCGGCACTCAAGTATATTCTTTGAATATTCATATTTTATTCTTGAGTGTTCGTCATTTTATTCATCCACACGACATAATTAGTTTATTCTTAACTTAATTATTAGTGTTATTGAGAGATCTGGGAGCGACATTAGCATACTCTCCCATTCCCGAAGAATTATACAATCTCTTCACATCACAATCTGAATTGGGCAAAATGTTCAGGAACAACATACGTGCATACAACACAAAATTTTCTTTCACATCGATGGGTGTAACTTTGGATAAGACAATGAATTATATGACATCCGGTGTATATACTTTTCGTGCATATGGAGGAGTATATCAGAAAATCGATCAGTTAGTTCCAAGAGATGGAGGACCTAGGTATTTACAGTTATATTTTTATGATGTTGAGTCTGAGTTTTCACATAGACTCCAATGGCCCAATCTTGATAGAAGTATCATTGAAATTTTGGCGCGTATTCTTGCTACGATTCCATATGTGAGAATATTTCGAAGCCTTGCAGAATTAGGACCACTCGACAATTATAGAGTCACTTTGAATGCATCGGTGGAACTTGACCAGAGGGTATACAACTGGTCGACGACATCTGAAGTTTGAATAAAAACATTTTCTTTTTTATCTTATAGACACATATGATACATAGTATAGACTATATTAAATAATCATATTCTTTAGGTTGCTGGTATTTGGGTTGAAGGCAATGACAACATTATTACATATAAGAGAAGTATTATTGTGTACGGGAGGTCTAACTATAGCCATGAAATTCAATCTCATCTCGCTTGTTACGATCCATTGTCTTATCCTTTGTTCTTTCCCAAAGGTGAGTCTGGGTGGCATTCTAAAATTCCAAGACATGGAGTGCCCATCGGTGATGATGTTGATGACAACGAAATCATGGAGGAAAATTCAGAAGGCACAAATTTTATTGCATATGTTAATATATTATATGAAGTAACTAATTAGTTTGGAAAGCATACATATCATCAGT